TCTTACCACTAGGACCCATGACGGCCGTGAACTCTCCCGACTGTGTCTTTCCCGCAATACCTTGCAGCAACGTCGTCCGCGTTCCTAGCCGCCGCTTCGACTGAGGGAGGGAGGGAGGGCGCGAGGGAGGGAGAGAAGGAGGGGAAGACGGGGGAGAGGAAACAGGAGGAAAGGGCGACAAGGAAGACGTCGGAGGGAAAATGAGGTCGGCCATGCACAGAAAGAAAGAGTGCGAGCACGACGGCGTAGTAAGTAGGCGAAAAGAGGATGCGTGGTCTGGAAGAAAAAAGAGGCAGAAAGAGAGCGCAACTTACCCTCTCCTTCCGTATACCCCCCCCCTCGAGGTCGATTCCCTTCGCCTCCTTCTTGAGGCCAAATCTCTCATTCTCCTTGGAAGCCAGACACTGAAACGGATACTTTATGGCCCGGCGGGTGTACTGCCATATGCTCGCAGAGGATGCGGAGGGGGCGAAGGAGGAGGAGAGGTAGGAGGAGGAGGAGGAGGAAGTCTTCAGAGCCTCAATCGTCCATTCAAGCGTCTAGGGACCGGAATGGCAAGGAACAGGGTAAGAGAATCGAGAGGAATTTAACCGAGTGAAGGACAGAGGGGTAATCGGGACACAGGAGAGGTATTCCTTCCTCCCTTCCTTCTTACCACCCACCCTCCCTCGTTCCCTCCTTTCCGCCGCCCGCCGCCCTCTCCTTCCCATACCGTAACGGCATGTCTTTGCCATCTTTGACTCCTTATTGACCTCGCAGATACTGCATCCTCACGCTCTCGTCCTCCTTTCGCATCCTCCATCTCGACCTCCGCTGCCGCATGCTTCCCTCCCCCCACGTCTTCTTCCCGAGCTGAGGGTGTTGATGGCAGTTCCAGCGCCCTCTCCTCCCATACTCTATGATCTTGTCTATTTTCAAACCCATCCTTGTATTCACCCAACTCTATTCTTGTCTCTGAGCACCCTTCCATTTCCTCTGAAAGATTCATGGGCGGATGGGGTGGCCCTTTGTTCCTCGCACAGAGCGGCCGGTGAAATCAGAATTTTGGTTCCCTTGTTTCACGCTCCCAATCATCCAGATGGACCTCCAAATATTCAACACATCATAAATGTCAGTATACTCCCTTGATTTATTTGGACGACACTGATCACCTCTCCCCTCCTATTTCCGAAGTAGACGGGCCGCCAGACAGTATTGCCTGAGAAAACTGTGCAATCCTCGTGCAAATTGGAAAAATCGGATTGGACGTCGTATTCCTGTGTGCCGATATATTACAAATATCAATTCTTATTAGAAAGTGGGCTCATGAAATGAAATCATCTATTCCCGTGCTGTTCCCAGACGTCTCATACTGCGGGACCCCGGATTCAACGTAGATATCTGAGGGATTTCATCCAGTGACGCCTACATCGCGATTTCTATAAAATTGACGATATAGGCGATAAGTCGTACAATTTTTGTTCCATGCAGATAAAACAAAAATGCGTCTTTTCATACCGTGAGTCAGGCATGGTCGAAACAAACAATTAGACGGGCTGTCCCGCAAATATCGGGAGGGGGGTTTGAGAACCCGAATTGGAATAAAGAATTGCCTCCCGCCCCGATGACGAAATTATACCCAAAACCCAGGAATCGGGTTCGGATACTTCGTTTGATTGCCATTTTATTGACTTTTGCAAATGAAATGCTTTCTTTGAGGACATGTGCACGGGCGGGGATGTCCGTGTTTTGAGGTCGGTGAATATTTCGTTGTTCTGCTTCGAGGGGATACGCTATCGCCTATAGGGGGCGCGCGGGGGGGAGCTTGACCACTGAAAAGCTTGGACTCGAGATTATCGCAAGGAAATTGCACTGGTGGACGCTAATTTCAGGACTTTAAAGTCCTTCACGTGATGAGAATTATTGCGATGCATCATGGACACGCAGAACATGTACCACATGGTAATGTGACAATGGATGACGGTCCCATGTGCTTCCAATTTTTCGCGCTACTCGGCCCCATTCTTTGCATTACGAAAAACGAGACTTTGGGGTCAAAGAAGTGATCGGTCAACGCAAATGAAGTTCGCGTACATTTCAGGAAGGCTGATTGCTACTTTAAGCACGCTATTACGTCAGTGGTCGTTATCACCACGAATCAATGATCCTTTTCTTGTTGCATCAAGTCCTGTCACAGGACAGGAAAAGCCTATAACCCCGTCTAAACCGGCTATATATCTTCGAGCGGCCCATCCATTCTACCTCGTTTTTCCAATCCCACAGAGAAGGCAAAATTATCATCACCCATCCTTGTGTACTCCAAAATTGGTATCTTTCTCCTGCCTTTATTTATTGCTTGATTGCTTGTGTGTTAATATCTGTAGAGTCAAAGTATCATCTCCCGACGCCTACGACTCCTCGCATTTACGTCAATCCTCTAACGCTTTCCTTCCGAGTAATCAAACATGAAAAAACAACTTAATTATTTGCCTGCTAAGCGCTGTCCTTCCCATCAATAACCCTCACTAACCTGTTTCCGGCCCCCTCAAACAACTTATTCTTCCTTTCTCGCCCAGCAAGGTATCCCCCATCCCCCTCAGACCTCACAAACAACTCGTTTCTTACACCCACTACATCCAATGAGGACATCGATCTTGCATCTTGGCAGTCGTGTTCCAGTCTAAAGTGAACTGGCATCTGTCCTCCTCATCGCCAACTACAGGGGCTGTGAAGCACAAGTAGCTGCACACATGGCAGGCAATAGGGCTGTACCTGTATTGCGGAAGGAAAACAAATCCCTCAGGACAAGGACGTTTTTCTGGCAAGATACTACGCCTCATTTTCTTTCTTGTTTTCCCTTTGCCATCCCTTTCGACGTGAGCCAACAACGTACCGATAGCCGGAGAGGTCGCTCCGAGCCCGCCACTGAGGCGCCGCGGGGCCCAAGTCGTTCGCCGTAAAAGGAACCGTCCCGCCCACTGCCGTCGGAAGATAAATGGAGCGTCGGTATGCATGCTTGAAAAGCACCCAATGCCCCCCCAAATGCAGCGTTTTCCCTGTTGGATGTTTCTCCTTTCCCTCACGGGTATCATCAAGAACCTCGCTTCCTACCTGCGGTATAATTAAAAATGCCGTGTGTAGGTATAGGATTTCCATTGTCGCGTCCCCCCATCTGATCTGAACTGGCTTTAAAGTCGTCACAGGCATTGATTATGCCGCACGGAACCTAGTAAAGAGCGTTCAAATAAAGGGAAAAGGTATTGAAAGGATAGGAAGGAAACTGAGCGCGCGGGGAAGGAAAGAAGGGAAAATGGAAGCGATAGATTTCGAAGAAATGTCTCCCTCCCGCCAGGACGATAGCGACATTCCCTAATGCCACGAATTTCTCTTTTTATCTTGACCCTGACTACCTCCATAGTTTCCCTGTCATCCCTCTTACCTGGCTGATCCAATCTCCAACAAAGTAAGCCTCGCCCTCCGCCCCGCTGCCAGTGAACGTGACCTGTATAAAGAAGCAAAGAGTTTTCCTGCATCGGTATTCATATTCCTGCGACCCGAGGCCCATTTTAATCCGTCCTCATCTCCCTCTCTCCCCTTTCCATTTCCTCACATGCCGATTGTTCACAGCGGAATTGAACCGCCGGCCAAAGGCAGCGTTTCCCACGTTGGGGGCGCCAAAGGTCACCACGTCGACACGTAAATCCGGGTATGTTTCCGCAGCATACAAAGCCAATAACGCCGCCACTGCCCCTCCCAGTGAATGGCCAGTGATAAGCACTCGGCTCAATCCCTCCTTCCCCCCCTCCCTCCCTCCCGCCTTTATTTTTCTCTTGGAGACCAACTCGCGCATTTCATCGTGGACCGCAGGACCGGCCAGGCGGGCGAATGCCTGGAAAAATCCGTAATGGATCTGCTCTTCTTCCTTCCCTTCCTCCCTTTGTCCCTCCTTTTCTTCTTTCTCTGAAGGAAAATAACGCGCTACCTCTTCCCTGGCAGCATATTTATACTGAAAGTCCAGATCCCATTCGCTCGAATAAACGGTGCCACGGATCAGCAAGAGGAGGGTGGCTGGAATTTAGGAAGAAAGGAGGAGGGGCGGGGAAAACGAAAAGCACGTCAGCCTCGCGAGCACTCACTGAAAAATCCATGACCCACAAATGAGCGATCCTTCCCGTCCCCGTGATTCATCCCTTCCCATCCACGGCCATCCCACCCTCCTTCTTGTGCCCACACCTCCCTCCTCATCCCCTGTGGCATTGCGCACAAAGCTCATCATCAGCGGCGCCTCTTCCATGAGCCCCGCGTCCCCTCCGCCTCCCATTTCCACCGCCGGCTGCCCTTCTTGTTCTCCTCCACGCAGGGGGTACAAGCGTTGTTGCGTCCACTCCGCCGGCAGGGCCATCTCGTACTGCCCGTTTCTTCCCTCCACCTCGCCTGTTTCCCATAGGAACAGGACCCCATAGAAATTTAAAAGGGAGCGATAGAGGAAATAATAAGTGCCCCGTTCGGGGTCGGAAATGTGGGCCGAGACGGTCCGTGGGAGGGGGCGAAGGTCGACAAATTGCTCAGGAAAGCGATTTTGAGGATTGAGAGGAGGCTTGGCCGCACTCCCACGTCTGAGCTGAGGGGGGACCGTCCGTGTGACTGTCCGATGGGAAAAGATAGTAGGGAGAGTCACTGAGATGGAAGTGGGATGTACACGATGGAAAGGCATGTTATCCAGGGGAATGTGGGAGTACCTCTTCGTCCGACATAAATGGGTCTTGTTGGTGGTGATACAATGACATACACAAAGGAAATACTTTAGGGTCGGAAAGACTGCGGGTACAGACGGAAATGACAGGAGAGAGATCGAGTGGAGGCGATCGCGCCCAAAAAACAGGCCAAAAGCTTCAACTTTCTGGCCATGCATCTTGTCCCCTTCAAGTCCAGCACCTCATTGACTTACGAGCAACCCATGAAGCGCTCACAGTGCAAAGAATGCCGTCTGCGTCCATGCTTCTCTGGATGGGGCAAGCAGGATTCTCTCCACCTTGAGGTACCTAAGTGAAGAGGTGTGTTGTAGAAAGGGCAAGTCAGTCGTCTTTTCCACCTGTAATCTTTTTCGGGCAATCCATCTTCTCCCTACGTCACTCACCACGCCATGCTCGCGCACATAGGCCCCGTAATCTATTTTGCCTTCGTCAGCGCCAGATGTCGTAGAGGAGGATGTTGGGGCCACCGTCGTATTTCGAGAGGACGCGCGACTTTTGGTATTTACGGTCCAGCTCCAGCCATCAGGCCAGAGCCAGGATGAAAATGATGACCAATTAGAAGAGAAATATGGAAAATGGGAAGAGGTTCTCATCAAGAAGAAGGAGTTAGGGAACGAAGGGGAAGGAGGCCAGTATGTCGAATGGGAGGGTGTGGAAGAAAGCTCATCTCGGACAGTGGGCTGAGTTTCACGTGTCCGTCTTCTTATTCTGTTGACTTCCATGCTCGACTTTTTCGCGCAAAGCCCACGGCTAAGAGGGCAACCAAGAAGAAGAAGGATGAAAAGCCATATGATGCTGCTGCGCCGTGCCGCAGGCTCAAGAAGCCTGGGCACAGAAGGCTTCCCATGTGGAGATGCCGAAGGCATTAATTACCCGAGCCTGATGCAAAAGACGTAGATTCAGACCGAATACGGACCGGTGTCTTATTATATGATTGAATGAGCGGCTCGAAGATAGAGAAGGTATTTGAAGTGGTCGCATTTCAATGGCACACAGCCAAAATTTGAAAATTTGAATTGCTTGGCGATTTTTGTAGCACTACAATTGTTCGATTCCCATGACTTCCTCTTCTCGTCAAATCTTCGGTGTCCTGGTGTGATCTTTCAAAGTTAGGTCCGTATGATCTCTTAGGCACTGACTGATGATTTTTAATTCGATATCTCTCTTACACTTCAAAGAATTTCGACTCAGAAAGGGAGTTGTCGTTGAATGAAAGTTCTCATGGCAACATAAATGAAAGATCTAAGTGGTGATACGATGATGGCGTTCCAAAGCTTGGTTTTGGTTGCTCGTCGTTGTGCACGCACATGCACCTTTTTATTCACGAATATATAAAGATCTAGATTCCAAGTATGCACCTTTTTATTCACGAATATATAAAGATCTAGATTCCAAGTATTGCTCGACGCCTGAAACTCGTGTCTGTGAAGACCACTATCACATGCAAAATGCACAAGCCTCTCATAATTCATGCGATTTACTACAATTTAGCCCCCCCTCTTTATCGTCCACGCCTTTGCGCATGTCCTAGACCGACCGACTTCCCCTTTGCCTGGGCATTTCTCCTTCGTGGTCCTGCAATCGCTCCATTAAATGCTTCGCCACAAACTCCTCCCACATCGTCTCGAAAATCGGAGTGACCTGCTCGAAATATGCGACAATGTATGAATTTTTTTAAACAAAATAATTTAAAGTGAGATTTTGGCACTCAAGTGTGCTAGAAAAGCTTTAACTGCAACTCCTACCCATTGAGGCGTCCTACCCGTGGTTCTTTTCGCACCCACCCGTCGTACCTCTTCCATTTGCATCCGAATAAATTCCCTCATCTCCGTCAGCTTTCTGACGTGTTTACGTTTCCATTTGGCCTCCGCTGCCGACAAAGCTGTAGGTTCTTCTCCCGCTTTTTCTAGCATTCGACATTAAGTTATGTTTTGCGTTCGGTAAGGAAAGATTGTTACAGCGGAGAAAACATCAATGCCAATGGGAAAATACACATGAAATAGTATTTATCATGGAGTAGATTTCAAATTATCATGGAGTAGATTTCAAATTATCATGGAGTAGATTTCGATCTAAAGCCTTTTCAGCCTGCTGCCTCTCCTACTTCCGTACGTTTTTCTTCTTCCTCCTTCTTAAGCTGCTCCTCGACAGCCTTGTCATCTGCGTCCTTGTCGTAAGCAATATTGAACTGTTGTGTCAGGGAGGGACGAGAATGGAGGTGGATATCGTGATCCTATGGCACCATTTGAAAGAGAAAGGAAGAAACGAGGGTGGGGCCGGACAAGCACAAGCGGACACAGCGGAACCGAAAGAAAGCAACCTGCTTGACGACTATGGCGATGGGTAGGGAAAGGAAGACGATACCGCAGTACGCGGATGCCGCCGCGACAAATCGCCCAGGCCCTGAGGTGGGATGGAGGTCTGGGGCGAGTGCAGGAAAGAGGAAAGGCGAGAGGGCGGTCAGGCTCATGTATAGAAGGAGAGGGATGACGGGGATCGTGATGGGATAGCCGTGGTGGAGGGAGAGTCAGTGGAGCCGAAAGAGAAGCGGAGAAAGGGAATCTAACCTCCGTAGCCGACAGTAGTCGCGGTAATGATCACCCAGTAGGCGGAGACTGGCACCGAAGTGAACGGTGATACCTACAGAAGAAAGAGAGGTGAGAGAAGGTCAACAGAGGGAGCGGTGGAGGAAAGCCTGGGGGAGAGGAAGAAGAAGAAAGACACCGGGAGGCTGGCAGACGATAAAGCATCGAACTAGAGAATTAAACATGAATGAGAACCCAAAGGACGCTAAACGGTCGGGTGAAACTGACGTTATCCACAGAGTGAGCGATGAAAGATATCTCTTCCCTCTTCTTTGCTCCCCCGCCCCCCTTTTCCTCCCTGCCTACCTCTTCCCCTCCTTCAAGCGCCCGCCGGAAGAAAGCTCCTTCAGGATGATCTGCCGTCACCTTAAATATGCCACCTTCATAATAGAAGGCCTGAGAGGAAGCAAGCAGGGATGACACGAGTAGGAGAGAGAGGACCAGACATACACAATCTTGAGCGATCAATCTCCCCATTGCCTCCATCACTCTTTTCTTTGTCTCCACCCCCCACCACCACCCCTGCCTCCCGAATTCCCTTCCTCTCCCCCCCCTTTTCTCCCTCCCGCACGTACCAAAGCACCCATGATAAAGGTCAAGACAATAGTAAAGAGCGTCAGCAGCATGAGCGATGGGCCCGAATTCCTGGGGAGGGAGAGGGGAGGAGAAGGTAAGTAAAGGAGGGAAAAAGAGGAAAAAGACGAAAGACACAGTAGTTTCCTAATGACTTTTAAGGGCAGGTGGTCCACGACGACTGCTCAAAGTTCTTCCTCCTCCCACTTCCTGTGGAACCGCCTTTCCTCCCCCCCGAGCCCTTACTTGAGTGTATTCCACACGAGCTCTCCTCCATCGAAATAACGGCTTAGCTTCAGTACCCGCAAGACCCTGCTCGATCGTAGTAAGAGATCATGTGAAATATGTGAAATCTATGAGCTCTTTCATTTATTTGTTCTCTCTACATCGTCTCTAGTTACCCACTCTTTCTCTGGAGCCAAACCTCTGTTGACTCCCTCCCTTCGTCTGCTTCTCTATTGCTCCTTTCCTCCCTCTTTCCATACCCCTTCCTCCTTCCCTTTCTCCTTCCCTTCCTACCTGGTGATCCGCAACAGCCGCCAATGCATGATGTTCATGGTGGAAATGACGTAATTGAGAAGGTAGGGGAGGATGACCAGGAGGTCGATGACCTGGTCGGCGTGGACGGCGTATCGGAAGGTTTTCTCCAGGGGGGAGGGTTGAGCCACCCCACGCTAAGGACGGAAAGAGGGAGGGAGGGAAGCAGAGGCAGTAAGTAAGCAATGGAAAATTTTATCGACGGAGTGGCTGGATCCGCATTGAGGCCCGAGAAAAAGGGGGAAATCGCACGGGAAAGAGGGTAAGGATATGTTGAAGGCGGGATGGAAGATTACGATTAGATTCCAGGTTTGTGTGGAAGCTCACTCATTACAACTGATAACAGACAGTGACGGAAAAGAAGGGTTGAAAGATGGACGGCAGGTAGGGGGGGAGGGAGGCCGTACGCTGTGGTCTTCGTTGATGCGTCGTCCGTCCCAATAGATGAGGCGCTGCGGCACCGCGTGGACGGTGATAAGACGCACAAGGTAGTCGAAGATGAAGAGGATGAGCGTGACGAGCTCGGTCTGAATCAAATAATGGTGGGGCTGAAAGGGGGGAGGGGAGGAAAGAAAACGAGGAACTGTAAAGGGGTCATGTTCCGACGTGGGAAGGGGGGGATTTCTTCTCCTTTCCAAAGCCTCCCTCTTCCCCGCCCTCCCTTGCGCCCTACAACCTGCCCTCTCTCGCCCTCCCACCCACC